CCTCGAAGTAAATGACTGGCTCCATTTACTCCAATGCTTACCTATCAGCTGGTGATTAAGTGATCAAACAGATCAGGGCTAATAAGTGTACATGGATGATTGCAATGATCAAAATGAGTTTTCAAGACTATCTATATGATTTAGAAACACAAATTAAGTTTGTTCCTGGGTTCTTTTAAATACAATCACTGAATAGCAATTCTATGAGTAACTTTTCTACTAAATGCTAGAAGAAACATCACTCTCTAAAAAAATGTTGATGCAAATGTTTTAAGAATTTCATTTGCTTGCCCATAAATTGCAGCTCTAGAGAAAAAAAAAAAGCTTCTGTTTGTCAAGGTCAGGTAGACAATCTTTAAGAGATGCTTAGAGGACATCCTGTATATGCAAAATCTCCATGGCAAACAGAAAGAATCCCAAAGGTATTTTCTTGAAACCTTGCTAGCTTTGAGAAAGAGTTGGTTCTTTTGGATCCAACTCATTAAATGCCTGAAGTACTCCTATGGTCACTATGACTTTTTTTTTAATGGGTCAAGGAAACCCTTAGGTGAATTCCAGGTTCTATTTTTAATTAGGTTTGAACTGTGTTCTTATTTGCTTTAGATGTTTGCAGTATGGATCACTACTCTTTTTCTTCTTGTTGCAACCAGAGGTAAGACACACAGTTGATAAAATCTATAAACAGTAAAAATCGTTGTGTGCAGCTGGTGTAACCAGAATAACTATATTTTAGCAAAAGGATGTGCTTTGGAATGGATTTAACAGATTTCTTCATTAGGAGCATTGAGTTACGTCATTTATTTCCCACATTCAACCTATTAGTTTTTAATTCTGTAAAGGTTTTTGCAGCTAGCAAACAGAATGGGAATTAGAAAGGTATTTTTATATATGAATTGATACAAAAATTCTTTCAAAACAGTTTCCCCTACCCACCCTCAACCCACACCAGCATTTATGGTAGACGCAACTCTTGTAATGCCAGCCTAGGCACTTACTCTTCACAGCGCTATGCAGAGAACAAGAAAATAGTCCCAGTCCAAAACATATCTTTACCTATTGGAAAGAACAGTTCAACAGGGACAGACACACAGAAAGAGCAGAGAGAAACAAAAAGACACAGCCCAAAAGTTCGCTGGCATCAGAGGAAAGACCGCTGTGAAAATGACTGCATCACTTGTGGAGTCTCTAGCTGCAGCTCCACAATCAAATCTTCTCTTTCTCTAGACGTATTTCTAGTATCTATCACGCTACCCCTGCGTTTCATACAGAGTAACGAATAGAGTAAGTCACGGTCTGATGTAGTATGAATCTGTCACCTATCCTAGGTAACAATAGTTTCTCATTATTTTCAGTATCTTTTTAATAGCAATAAAAATTATTTGGGATTTCACAACTGTTGTGCTATAATAGTGGGTAAGGATGACATTTAATGGTAACACCCTTTTGTCATATTTGCATCATTACTGTATTAAAGCCACAATAGAAATTGGGAAACTCTAGTCCTTCAGGCACAGACCACACTTCCCAAGGCTGTGCTTTGCTCTAGGCTTCCGCTCAAATTCCACTTCATTACTTCCACTAAAATCTTATGGTGATAAAAAAATAAGGGAGATGTTTAATGTACATTATGGAGCAACCAGAGGTATCTGTTTTAATGTTTTGGTTTCATTTTACTCCTTCATGAATTGTTGCACAAGAACTAACAATTTAGATAATCCCTGGAGCCTTAGCACTAATTTGAAGGACTGCTCTCTGCTGGCAGCAAAAGCTGGTTTGTTCTCTGGATCCATAAAAGATCAAGATTTTATTGTCTTTTTCTGATGGCTGCGTTAACAGTATGTTTGACAAAATAGGTCATGAGTTCACCAACTGAGCTCTACTCTATGCTTGAAACAGGAATTGGTCTTGAAGTTGAAGACCCTACTACATACACAAGGCACAGGACCACAACTGAGCCCCTTAATGAAAAATAAACACAGGTGCCATCTTAATCTGAATCAGCCATTTTCCACTTCCCTGGTATAAACGCTACCCTGCCGGCTTCTTGTAAAGTGGTGAATGCCTAACCTGCTATGTTCCCAGAACACTAACATTTTTCTTTGCGTACCCCAGGAAGGGAAGTTTGCTACAAAAGGCTTGGATGCTTTACAGATAGCCCCCCTTGGTCTGGGATCCCAGGGAGAGAACTTGCAGGCTTGCCCAGCTCTCCGGAAGCTGTGAACACCAATTTCCTCCTTTACACTAGAGACAACATCATGAAATATCAAGTAAGAAACTGCTTTGTTTTAATAACTGATATTCAACAAGTTATACACACAGTTTCTTTTCTCCCCTATTTTTGCTTAAAAGTCTTGCAGGAGAGGCCCCAATTCTATATTACACACTCCATGAACAATCCATCCCAATTTCCTTTCATCTCATTTCTTTTTTTCTCATTTCAGCTCTCTGACAGGCCAGGTACATTTACAACATATTAATAGCAGCCTTCTAACACAAGTCATCTGAGATATTTTAGATACATACTTCTCTACAGTAAGCTAATGGCCCAAATTCAGTTTCAGCTTTAGCATTATAAAGCCAGAGGTAGGAAAGGCAGTACAAAAGGAAAGCTCAGTTTTGGCTCCTGTGTGTCTCCAGCTTAAAACCATATTTCAGGCCCATACATATGACTCAGGGATGTGGTTCATACACATGATTACTAGGTCCTCTGAACTACATATGATTGGTCTCAGAGGCTCTGCTTAAGTGGTGGTCAACACTGAGCCCTAGGAACAGGTAAATAGTTAAGAGTGAAGATCAGAAGAGAAAGTATCCATGTTCACCAGAGAGGAGAAGGAAAATAGGATGAAAAATTAAAGGAAAGCTTAGAAAGGAAAACAGGAAACTAAAGAAAAAAATGAAGGAGAGCGTGAAATCATATGTGGAAAAGAAGGAAACAACCAAAAAGAGAATGAAATGGTGATGGATAAGGAAAATAAACAAATATTAAATATTTTTTGGAAGAATGGGACTGAGGGAAAATGAAGACTAAAAAGCTAAAGAAAAAGACTTGGTAAGATATACCTTCGAGAGAGCTTGGAGGTTTCTCTTACAGAGAGTTGAACCAGGTTATCCCTCATGAAAACACACCAGGTAGAGAAGCATAGACACAGCAGACTGGAGCTGTATGGAAGAAAAAAAGTAAAAAGGTGAGGTTATCTACAACATCTGCAAACTAGTGGCAGCGAGAGGAAGCTCTGGATTGTGACAGAGTGACAAATGGAAATAGCTAAAAGGAGCCTGCAGGACCTGTTTAGGATGGATCAAATGGGAATGTACTGAAAGACGCCAGCAGCGTGTCAGCCCTTTCCTCTGAAGATCAGCAAGTGCTGGGAAAAGCTCACAGCAGGATGCTTGAGGTGTTGGAGCTGTCTGGGCTGGGGTTATCCATAGCATGAAGCAGTTTTGTGGAGCTATAGACCAGTCTGGTGAAAGAAGAGAAATGATCATCAGAGAGTGTGAATTTTACTTGGACAAAAAGCAAGAAAAATGAAGCAAATTAATATAAAGGGGGGGGGGGGGGGGGACATAAAAAAATAGGGGGGGGGGGGGGGGGGGGGAGCAATTTGTTGCTGTTGTTGGCTTACATTACATGAAAAAGGCTTCATAGCTGTTTTATTTATATAAATGGCAGTCACAAACAGTAGAGGTGTTCAGTGATTTCTCCTGTTTGAGTCACCTCAGAACAAGTCCAACATCCCTAGCTGAGAGGGCCTATCAGTTTTTAGCTTTAGTCAGTCTTTCACTGAAGGTGAGGTGTGCTAATTAGTGCATGACATCCCCTTTTAAGCTTACGAAACCATTACAAAAAATGAGCCAAGTTTTAAAACAATCCACTATTCAGAATTTCTTTAAAAGAAACTAATGCCTTTGTTCTCAGTAAACCCCAGAATACCTACAGCCTCTGATGTTGTAAGCCTGGTGGGCTTTCTCATAAAATATAAATAAGCTTAGCGATGAAGGTCTTATCTTCAAAGAGAAAAGAAAGAAAAATAGGTATAGATTCAAAGTCAACCACATAATACCTTGCAGAAGATGTTATCTTTGTATTTCTATGGTCAAGTTTGATAAAATCTTCTATTTACATGGCATGTTGTACCAGTATATCTCAAAGCATTGTGCAAAGGATGCCAGTATCATTAGTTCAATTAACTAGAGGAAGTGAATAATTTGTTGAAAGGATTAATTGATATCCCCCAGCAAGGGAGTTTACAAGTGAGGAACAAGACACATCTCTTCAGAGTCCAGAACTCTGCCTTAACCATTGGGTTACTCTGCCCTGTATCAAAACGTACACTGGGATGGAGCAGTCACATCCTTGTTGTGTTGTTTGTTGGTTGTTTTTTTTTGGACACAGAAAATTTCTGCTACAAATGCTTCAACTATCAAAGCTTCAAATTTCCGAACGCACAGGAAAACTCGCTTCATTATACATGGCCATCTTGCTGGAGCAGACCTCCCCTGGATAACAAACATATGCAGGGTATGGTATAACTCCTTTCTGAGTATTTGAAAGTGCAAATATCCACATCACCCCATTAACTGGCTTAAAATTCCCACATAAAATTTACACCTCTGTTCTCTTGTTAATTCAGGGAATATATGAGGGGAAAAACAACTCAGAATGAAGATCATTTCCACATGACCACTTTCCTGTTCCTAGCTATGAGTATAGTGCACTTCAGCCTTCTGCTAAATGCCCTTTTGCTGCACTGACCTCCACAGGGAAAGCTATAATTAATTGATTTTTCAATTCCTTGCCAATAATAAAGGGGAAAAAAAAGTCACTTTTCTCACCTCAGCAAAAGGTCAAAATAAACATTTCAGTCTGAGTGAGGCATTTGATCTAATAAAAACAAAATGCTTTGTTCAGCAGATTGGTTTTATTTTGTTTAGGCACATTTCAAAAATGAAATTGTTTCAGAATGAAAAATCAGAATGTTCCATTGCCAGAAGTGTATAAATAGAATATTTTGGTTAAAATATATGAACTTCGGGGCTGAGCAACTCAAGCACATGAACACAGATTTGTGAATCCTTTAGATGATCCAAGCGTATACATTTTGAAGAATAAAGCTTGGACAATAAAAAAGAAGCCACACTATCCTCTTTTTCTAATTGGGGTATGGTCATTGAGAGAAGTTGATACCCTAAGCCAACCAAGGCATCTGGAATGGAAAACAGAACTGAAGCAAGCTTCTGTGTGTCTTTATACAGTGTTCAAATCACTGCCTCCACTCTGCCTCCTTGTGTTGATTCTTCAGTATTAGTAGGAATTAAGATACTGAAGATGTGTCTTTACCAGTCACCCGAAGTGAGTCCCCGGCTATAACAAAACAAAATATTGTTTGCATATACCCTGCTACAATTGTAACTCATGCTTGTTTCCTTCTGTTCTTCTGTTTTCACGTTTTCCACCAGTTCATGTTTCACACTGAAGACGTGAACTGCATTTTGACTGACTGGAGAGGTGGCTCTAGTGGTTTGTACACCGAAGCAGTTAACAACGTCCGCATTGTGGGGGCTGAGTTGGTATATCTGGTGAACCTTCTTGAGGTAAAAGTATCCATGGAATGTGAAAGCCAGCGCATAGTCTGTATGGTAAAAGCTCTGTTCAGGGTGGCACCTTTAGGTTTGATGCAATAGAGTCAGGAAGTACAGAGGTACTCAGTAACGCAGCTGAAAATGTCATAAAAAGTCTGTAATCCTGCACAAACAGAAATACCTACTTTAGTGTCAGACCACAGATAAGCATGTCCCTAAAGGCTTACAGGCCACAGTTTCTCAAAGTTTTGCTCATGACGGGCTTCTTATTGGATAAGACATCAGATTGGAGACTGCCTAGCAAAACTGGCAGGGTGAAGAGTGGTAATAGAGGACCAATACGGTTAAAACATCCCTCTGTGGGTCTGCAAGAACTGAATCACAGCACAGAGAAGCAACTCTCCTGCAGCCACCAATGTCAGGCTTCCCATGCAGAAGCTCAGCTGAGCCTGGCACACCGGCAGCGTTCCTGGCATGGTCCTACCCATCCTGCAGGACCTGCGTGGTGGAGCATCTCCATAGCAGGACGGCTGCTTGATTGACACAGAGGGTATGCCACAGACAAAGGCACTGAAAACTCCTCCACTACAGATCGCTATCCTGACTGGACACACAGGTTCAGGGGTGAGGCAGTGGGGTCATTCGCCTTTTGGATAAACAATCAGTGCAAATGTAGGGGAGCTATATGCAGAAATTCCCTTTTCCTTCTTTTCTATCATAAGGACCAATTCCTGATAGAGATTACTCCCTTCCAGAGGTGTGATGTAAGAGGGGATGGGATGAGTTGGGAACTGCTTCTCTTTAGGTACAGATCCCTGTACCTAAAGGGACAGTAACTTCCCACCCAAGACACTCCCTTCCATCGACCGCTGGTCTGGCCATGTCCTGGCACAGCATGGGGCCATGATGCTGTGCCACAGGCTTGTATCCCCCGCTTAACACGCTTGTTTTTTCCTTTCCATACATCTTCACAGAAAGAGTATGGCTACTCTCCTGCCAACATTCATTTCATCGGCCATAGTCTTGGAGCACATGCTGCAGGGGAGGCAGGGAGAAGGAAACCTGGCATTGGAAGAATAACAGGTACTGAAGCTACTTCAACTGATGAAACTTTATTTTCATGCAACTTAAGAGAACTAAAGAATCGCTGCTGCCTTATGAACACACAATACAGACCGCAATGTGCTGGTTTGTCATAATTAACAGTATACAGCTAGCAAGATGGCACACAAACGACACCATGTCCTATCACGTCAAGCATTTCACATGTCAATGTTCACAGCTCTGAGAAAGGCTCGACTGCAACAGATCAGAAAGGCTTAACTATCCTGACTGTGGCTAAATAGAGGTCACTTTTCACAGGTCACAACAAGTCCCAGGGAGCACTTGGTTATGATTTTTAATGATATAAAAGAACAGGAACAAAATTCTGTATTACCTGTGGAATAACAGACCTGTAAAACACTTGCAAATCATTGTCATATTTTGTCTTAAAAGCCCACTCTAACATGACTTTTCAGCAGTTCAAAAGATTGAAAATCTGAAATGAAAAATTAAAAACCCTGGATCTAGTATGCCAGGATGAGACAGTAAATAGCCATGGACACCCTGAAAAGGAAGAAAGCTGTTAGTCGCATAGCTACGCAGAGAGACACAGCATCATGACACACTCACACATCACTTTTTTTAAAGGCTCACTATCTTCTCCTTTCGTTTCTCCTCCAGTCAGTTCTTTTCTCTGCATAGACATTGCTTTGACTAAGCTGTGTACACAGTAAGCAGTCACATAAGCTGTTCAGGGAAACTGGGATCAGAACTGTGTTGCGTTAGCACCGGAGAGAGCTCACTGACACTGAAGTGAAGGGGTAACATTTTCAACCAAGCTCTTTTGGAAATAAAAATAGACTTTTTGACCAAATAAAAATTCTCAAACAAATCTACATGCTCAGATTAACATATCAAAATTTCATATTTTTCACTAACATGCAAAAAAACCCCAAACCTCTTCTTACCCCAAAAGTAAGCCAAGCACCCATCAGCATTTTACTGTGCTGCAATGCATCCAGCCACCTTTCTATTAAAACCCTTCTTGTTTTGTTGGCTGTGGACCACAAAATGGATTTTTATATGTGGAGTAAAGGCAGAAATGTAATGACATACAGGCAAAATATAAAAGCAGCAAACTAAAAAAAAAAAAAAAAAAAATCCATATAGTATTATTTACTTAATCAGACCTATCTCCATTTATTTAGGTTTGGATCCAGCTGGGCCCCTTTTCCAGAATACTCCCACAAGGGTTAGGCTGGATCCTTCAGATGCAAAATTTGTTGATATAATTCATACTCACGCTGGTCATCTTTTCTTTGACTTTGGTAAGTTTTCACGCAAAGGCTGGCACCAACACAGAGGTTGGCCACAGCATACCTGAGAGTGATCAGCCTCGATTAATTGTGCATTTCAGCTCCAGGAATTCTTCAGACTTGTGGCCACCTGGATTTTTACCCAAATGGTGGGAAGAAGATGCCAGGATGCAAGCAGCTTCGTGTACCTCCTGCAACTCAGAATATCAATGATCTTATGAGAGGCAAATATATTTTAAAGAATACCTCATTATAAGTTACAGTTAGAAATAAAGGCTAGGGTAAGGTAAAGCCTTTTGAATGTATATATTATTTCTATAGCTTAGATTTGGAGTAGAGAGAGAATGCTCCAAAATGGAAGACTTAAAACTGCCTGTGAAATACCCTCCAATTTTCTTTTGTACTAACCAAGGCAAATTCCAGATGGAAACTTCAGTTAAAGCATGCAGACTTGTTCGTCACAACCTTTATAAGAGCCTGCCACTGTGCTGACAGACTGACCTCAGTGGGAATTCCACACATGAAGGACCGGTAAAATTTCATTCAAGGATAATCCAAAAATGAGTATTTTAAAATTTGAGCTTCCCTTCTCCCTAGAAAGACATCAGTCCCAATATTACTGGGGTTAGACATACTCATCCACATACTCATCCATGACATTAACAGATTTAGTGTCTTCAAAGGGAACAGCACAAAGTTAAAAATATAGAAGATGATAAAACGACTGTTCCATTGATAGCTCATGTTCTTCAAAGAAAGCTGGGCAGTTAATCAGAATTACCCTGGGATCCAGTACAATAGATCCCCAAAATCCTGTGTTCTGATCCTAACCTACAGAAATGAGAACATCTGTTATTCACAGCTAAATGTTTTGAAATCCCTACCGCTAGTTAAGTAATTGGCTTTCAAAAATGCTCTGTCTTAGAACTGGTTGGAGAACTTAGTAACAAAGAGGACTGAAAGCTAGCTATACACAAAGACACTTGGAACCAAAACACTGTCTAATCGGACTGCATAAGAATGTCTGCATTTTCAGCAAAAAAATTAAATATTTTCCAGAGACATCTCACAAGGCTGTTTGCAATGTTTTGTGGTGAAGGAGAAGCTCAGCTCTACTGAACATGAGCAGATAGAGTTGGTTGTTCATGCAGCTCCTAAAAATAGAGACAGCCTTAACTCCTGCCTCTTGGTTAAACCTTACTTTGTGCATCTCTTCCGTTTGATAATATTTACATTTATGTAGTGCTTTTACGTATGAATTGCTTTAGAAATGCTATTTAGTAACTTCTTTCTACAGCTTTTGATGCAGTAGGGAGAGAAGTATTATGTTCCCATTGTATAGATGTTAAGTGAATTTGGCACTAGCACAAAGTAAGCCACCGTAAGAGCTGAGGCTTTTAAAGTTAAAAGCACAGACTCTTCTGAATTAGATTTAAAGAAGGAACTATAAAGAAAACATACTCAGGAAGCCTTGGTGATGCAGATTATTTTCAAGAAAAACAGACAAAAATAGTTTTCACAGGGGTTTTGGTGTGTTTTTTTTCCTTATGTAAAGAACAATGTGTGTCAACTGGTCAATACCAACTGGTCTGTCTTTAAGATGCTTAAATATTGGCAGTAGGTGAAATTCTGATTTCACTATAAACTGTGCCAGCTTGCAAACTCCAGTGCCTCCAAGACTTCACCCTGTAGTTAGGTGAGCCCCCACACATGCTGAAGCAGAGCAGAGCCCATTTTTATGCAACCTAACTTTAGTATGTTGTGCTTTGATAAAGGAGAGCCTTCAGAGCCAATGAAGACAATACTTGTTACAAGGGACCTGTAAATACAACCCAAATAGCACTTTCTTCTTTCCTGTGCTGACTGCTTATAAATTTCACTCTGATGGGAAAACGTACTTGTTTCAAATAATTCTGACAAAATCAAGGACACGCTGCCAAACATCTTGCTTTTCAGAGCATTTCACAGAATCACCGCTGAAGTTAAAATAATTACTACAATTACCTTTAGTTCTAGAAATGAGTGGAAACTGTGGTTTTACAAAATGCCATGTTGTGATAATGGTAAGCAAATGAAAACTACTTCATAGTAACTACTATATGCTTTACAAATGCTGTAGCTATGAATTATTCCAATCTTTGAAATATCAAAGGGAAATTCTCCTAAATCCTCCTCGGTTCTCATGCTAAAGTAAAAGCAGTTAAGTACACATAGCAGGACTGGAAGCTGCACGAGGTCCAGCTTGGTGCATCTCCACCACTGTTAACTTCAGCATGAGCACAGGGGCACGCAGATTAGAACCTAGCTCTTCCCCATCAAAAAAATATATGTAGCCATAAGTACACTTTTTACAATAAAACCAAATAATTCACACTTTAAACATCTTTTAATTAGTACTTTTTTTTAATCTGAGACTTCACTGTATGTACAAATGCTTTTGAGGAAAAAAGACCCACAAGTGTTGTTTTGGCATGGACTTTATGTTGATGTAGAGCTTTAATCTTTTTTACCTGCGCTTTTTCCCAGAATATAGATCTATTGGATGTGGACATAAAAGAAGTCTCCGGTATTATGCTGAGAGTATTATCACTCCCAATGGATTTGTTGGGTATCAGTGTGAAACATACCGAGCTTTTGTATTGGTAAGTACCAGGTACATATTTATCTGAGGGGTTATAGCCCTGCCCTTCTTCTCTTAATAATTTCTGGGACAACTTCTACACTCTGGATCATGGGATACAGGGGGGCTATGCAGACCCACTGACTACCCTCATCCAGACCATACCCAAAAAACAGGCAAAATGTAAAAGCAGTAAACTCCAAAAAAAAGATCCAGAAGAAAACAAGGCAGTAAATATAAACACCAAAAACAGTTACAAAGGGAGATATGAAGAGTTGAGTAAGAGGGCAATGAGAGGCAGTGGCTGGGTTCACCTTTTGCATAGGTCAGCAGTAAGGGACACTCAGTCTGGTTGAAGGAAGTCCATCTAAATCTCGTGGAACCCATCATCAAGAGGACAGCCTCTGGCTTTCAGAAATGTTTAAACATCTGTATAAACAATAAACATCCACAGTATATGGAGCAGGGGAGATATTTATACAGCACAGCATTGCTCACACCACCCCTAGGTGGCACAAGAAAACAAGCAGCATAACGTCCTGGTGTTTCATGCCTGATATAACTGGGCTTTTAGTGGACCAATTCTGGCAATGCAGCTGCGGACTGGTCAAGAATGAAGACAAGTCTGAATTTATTTCCATCTACTCCCAGAAGGAATGATTACGATACTGTGGAAAATTTATTAATATTTGTAGCAATGTTGCCACGTAAATTGAAATTTTGATGTCATTCAGGACTTGAAAACCTGAACCCTGTGCAATTTAGTGATGCGAAGGAAATGTTTTTTTCACTCTTGTAATAAACAAGTGATGATGATCATTTAGCCTTTTATTTATCTAATGCCCAACTAGCCAAAGATCCACAAATACTGGTTCCTACAGAACATCCCAAATATCACAATTGAAGTATCTAAATATAACAATGCTATTTTTTCCAGCTGCAATTAAATCAATTTCATTGAAAATATACACGCTTATCTTTTTTTTTTATTTTAATGGACATCAAGGTGTTGATCTGAATGTTTGATCTATGTAGGTAGATTAATTTCATTAAAGTTCTGCATGGGAATAAAGGCTGAAAAGCAGACAGAACACATTCCAAAGCAAGACCCCAAGCTTCAGTATACCTAAACTTAAATATCTTTACCATATGAGTGAGATATCCAGCCAGACCTGCTTGCAAATATGGTTAGCCATCCTATAATAAGTAGCAGACAACCTTTCAATGGATCTTATGAAAGATTAATATATTACCTATATTTTACAGATCAGGTAGTAAGGCACAACATGCATTAAGGTATTTACTTATGGTCTCTGCAAGAGCATAAGGAATTAGGCCAGATTTTCAACCTGTTTAGCTCTGATTTTCAACCTGATGAAATAAGGTGACTGACCATCTCAGCTCCTTTTTTCACCACACTGATAAATACTGAAGATATGATATGAACTCAGAAGCAAGTACCTTTTCAGAAAAGCTGGGAAAAAGCTGAAATACCCTAATTTCTTGTACTTTAAGAAGTGGGATTAAAACTGATAACGTCTTGTAACACACATCGTTATTTCCCCCCAGGGAGACTGCTTCCCATGTCCGAAGGAAGGATGCCCACTGATGGGTCATTGGGCTGATAAGTTTTCACATAAAACTGAAAAAGAACAGCAAAAGGTTTATCTAAACACAGGGCCCTCCTCTCCATATGCTCGTAAGTGCTTCTTTTGGGTGGTGAATTCTAAAGTGGCAATGAATTTTGTGTGAACAAATATCTTTCTTACACTTCTACAGAGAGTTGCTGGAGTTAATGACTGGCGCTTACTACAAAATCTAGAGTTTCAGGTGTGTTAGGCACATGTAGTACCAGCATTATCTGGGAAAGGCTGAGATGATTATAGAAACAGATCAACTGATGCTGACCTCTGACCTAGATACCCTGCTAAATTTTGTTAGTTACATGATGGCTTCAAAAATTCTCTAAAGCTGAAGGTGGGAGGAATGTTGTGCTGAAAGCGCAAAATTTCAAGTCAAAAAAGTGACACTGTTTTTATTGACAAAAATTTATAAAACTGGATCATTTCAGGATATTTTTGCAAAGCTTATCAAGTCAAAATGGCAGGGAGTAATAAGAAGTATAGTTTTAATTGTGAGTAATGTAGAAGCAGCCACAGAACTGGGAAATAAGAAAATTCATAAATAAATTGTAATCCATCACAGGTGATGAACTGCAAGGGCAATAAATGAAAGAGGGTCTTTGAGGTCCTTACTCATTAGGCACTAAAATATGAAAACAAAATTAAGAACAAAAACTTATATCACGCCTCCATAAGAGCAAAAAGTAAAAAAATTAGTGTAACCAGCCATTTCTCAAATCTAAATGAATACATTAATTTCAACATTTACAAACTGAGTAAGTAAGTTGAGTTTATAGAAATTATAGCCTGAAACCAAATATAACCTTATGAAGTGGGTGAAGAGATTCTCCTTTTAATAGCCCAAATTAAAGCCAGTACAAAATCTTCCCAAACCTTGGAAGGTTGCTTGAAATCAATACGTGCTATTGCATCTGAGGCCCTGCTTCTGCCTTAGAAAGACATGCGAGATGACAGGATCTCCTGACAGCTGTTGGGCTGTGCACAGGTATAAGAAAAACCCTAAACACTCTGTATATCAGGATCATCCTGGGAAAGCTGCCGGTTTTGTTTAATATATCGTTAACAACACAGCAGTCCAGTGAACCTCACTTCATAGTTGAGAGCTAACAGGCTACCCGTGAGACCCCACAAGTTGCTTACAAGTGTAAGAAATTACAAAATTAAAAGTGAGGCCAAGTGGAAGAGCAAGGTACGCTATTGGCCATGACAGATTAAATACTCAGCATAGCCAGTAGGTCAGCAAAGATTCCATCTGTGATTTAGGCCACTGTCAAGGAAATTAATACTACCAGAATCATGCAGAACTAACATTTGCCTTAATAAAGAGTGGCATTTTATTTGCTTACAAGCACATTTGTGCAATCCTTTCCTCTCCCTGAAAGATATTGAAACATATGAAAAGTTTTGCCATTAGGAAAGAAATCTCCTTACAACCATAATCTATTTCATTTTGCTTTCAAAGGCTGGCGAAAAGAGATACATGTCAGAATATCTGCAACAGAAACCGTGAAGGGAAATATAGATGTAGCCTTGACTGGAACTAATGGGATCAGGAAAAAATATACAATTGACAAGTAAGTTTAACATAACTGTTGAAAAAATGGCTCTATCATTGTTATCATATTGAATTTATACACAGCTATTTTTACATGTCTCATCTTGTTCTATGTGATCTGTGATTTACACTGGTAGCAAAAGTAGCTGGTAAGTGGTTGAAGTTCCCCATGCTACCGATTGTGGTGAAAATCTGCTTGCTGGTCTCTCTTGCTCTGTATTTTCTTTTCTTTTCTTTTCTGAGGATGACGGTTAGCATAGCAAAGTGGGCAAGACCAGAGAACTCTGTGGCTACTGCTGGACTCAAAGATCATTTGGTGATCTTCTCTGAGAATAAAAAGAGCTGCGTGATGTACAGTCATTTAATCATTCCCTCCTCTAGGGAATATGTAAGTAAGGAAGTTGCAGCTTGCTTATGAACTGCGCTGGAGTCTGGGATTCCTGTCCACTCAGCCTGTTTTTTTCCAGTAAATGTGAATTTAAATCTCATAAACTGATCCTTGTCAAGAGCACAGTTTAAATATTGTAAAACCAGCCTCCTCTGTGTTTGAACATAGCCCTGTTACTGGTCTGTATTAGGAGTACCTTTGGTTGCAAATACACTACTGCAGCGATACACCTACAGGTAATTTCTATGTTAATGTCACACTGTAATGTGCATTCCGTTATAATGAACACTGATATCACAGAAGGCACAAACGTAAACTATAATTTTCAATTTTCTTCATGGTTGAAAGCAAACAGAAACACTGAGAGAACTTTTTGACTTGGATTTATTTGAAGATAGATCTCATTTTCCAAAAATAATGTCTAGAATAAACCCCTTGGCAATACTGACAAAGGCTGGGCTGACTAATCTAGTGTTTTCATCCTGAAAGGCACAGAAATTTAAGCAACTAAGTCATCTGCATACTTCTGTAGATCCCTCTGAGTAGCGATCTCCTCCTTAAGTACCAACAAGCCTATACATTGGGCTGATAGG